GGAAATGAAGCGATTTTGGAGGAATCTGGACGTAATCAGGAAATTAATGAGGCTGCACTCGGGAATCAATGCAGAAATTATTACCAAGGAGGCATCGGCAATTGCTTATGAGGAACTCATCATCAGAATCAGTACCACAATCCAAGAAATCATCGAAGACATCACTAATGAACTAGCATCTATAACAGAAGACAAAGAAGTTACACACGAGAATATGGAGAAAAATGGATAAGAACATAAAAATAATGCAGAATAACATACAATCTTTAAGGCCTATAGAAACAAGAGAAGAGTTGTCAATGTTTTTGAAAAAGGAGGAAATTATAATAGCTAGTTTACAAGAAACTTGGTTGAAACCAAATGAAAATTTCAGGATAAAGGGTTACAGATTGGTGCAGAGGTGTAGAGATGAAGGATTCGGAGGAGTAGGAATTTTGATCAGGGAAGACGTCAGTTACGAAGAGATAAAACTAGGCACCTACGAACCAGTAGAAGTAGTAGCAATACGAACAAAGAGCCTGTCGCTAAACTTTACAATATTCTCGATATACGTGCCACCGGATAGTAGGCTAGCCAAAAAGGAAATTGAGAGATTTGGAGAGATTTTCAGTCTAATCGAAAGAATGGATGGAGAAATAATGTTAACGGGAGATTTCAACGCAAGACACCCCATGTGGGACGATGGGGTTAAACCATGCGCGAAAGGCACTGCTATGGCGAACGAACTGGCAAACTCAAAGCTGGTAATGTTGAACGACGGACAGAGTACTACGATTCCTAGGATCAACTCATCTCCCACGGCCATCGATCTGTCATTCGCGACAAGCCACCTAGCATCACTGACGAATTGGAATGTGCTACAAGAAGAGTTCGGTAGTATGCATCTCTGCATCAGCATGACAATACAATCTGAAGCACCGATATCGTGGGGCACACGAAAGAAAGTAAATGTACAACGAGCAATAGAAGGACTAAACTCACTAAGACCGCAATACCTATACTCCCCGGAAGAAATGCAACAAGTATTCGAGGAACAAATAGAGGCAGCTAGTTATGTAGTGAAGAATAAAAAGGCAGATTTTCTGAAAGCGTGGTGGAACAAAGATTTACAAAAAGCATACAATGAAAAGAGGAAAAGGCTAAGAAACTTCAACAAAGAAAAATCATTAAACAATCAAAAGGAGATGCAGAAAGCTAGAGCGGTGTTCAAGAAGCTAGTCAGGAAGGAAAAACGGAAATATGTACACGAACTACAGGAAAAAATAGAGGAATCAACCCCACCGAAGCAAATTTGGAACATAATTCGAGGATTGGACACGGCACTTACAGGATCAAAAAAAGGAGCGGACCATTCACCGTCCCTAAACACAGCGATGGAATTTATGAGAAGGAATTATGTCAAAAAAACAGAAAATCTAGCATGGAAACACGGAATACAACAAGAAAAAGCGTACATGGGAGAATCACTAAATTTCGAGGAAATTTTCAAGGTAATAAAAAGCAAGAAAGATCACTCTGCTGCAGGTGTAGACCATATATCATACAAGATGATAAAGGGATTAAATATCGGAATGATAAGCGAAATAAGTGTACAACTAAATGCAGTATGGCTAGCAATCGAAATTCCAGAACGATGGCGGATTAGCAAGATGGTATTAATACAAAAACCCGATAGAGACCCAAATGATATCACGGCTAAGAGAGGAATTGCGTTGATGAACGTGTTTCTAAAAACAATTAACACTGTAGTCAAAGACCGACTTGCGAAGTATACAGATGAGATGGAATTACTACCACCACTGTCGTTCGGATTCAGAAAGGGGTATTCGGCAATAAGCAGCGTAAACTATATAGTCAATTCCATAAAGGAACTAAAAGCACAGAAGAAAAACTGCGTAGTATTCTTCCTGGACGTGGACAAAGCGTTTGATTCAGTAAACTGCCAAATATTGCTGGACAAAATGGAAAAATTGCAAATTCCGTGGGAAATTAGAAGATGGATATATGAATATTTGAACGAGAGAATAATGAAAATAACAGCCCAAGAACGAGAGGTAACAGTAACAGTCAACAGAGGACTAGCCCAGGGTTGCCCATTATCACCAGTGTTATTCAATCTATACACGATTGATCTTCACGAAGAAATAGAAGAAGGAGTGTTCCTGACGCAGTTTGCAGACGACTTTGCGCTGATGATAGAAGGAGATAGCGAGGAAATAGTAGAAAAAGCGAATCGATGTATCGAGGTAGTCAGAACGAGACTTCAGGGATTGGAATTGAAAATGAATCCAGCTAAGTGTGCAGTTGTGAACTACAGCAAAATACCAGATCACAAGCTTAATATTAAGGTGCAGGGAGAAAGGATCGAAGTTAATAATACCCATAAGTACTTAGGATATACGCTAGATAAAGGCCTCATACACAAAAAGCACATAGAAGAGGTAACAACCAAAGCCAAGAAAAGCCTAAACCTTCTGAAAATGATTTCCTACAAAAAAAGCCCTGCTAATCCGGAAACTGTGTTAAAAATAGGAAATGCTATTGTTAGGTCCAAGTTAGAATATGGAGCAATCGTATACGGCAATGCTGCAAAAACGAATCTACAAAAAATAGAAACGGTCCAAAACGCATACATACGAGTTGCAATGAGATACCTTAAAAGCACACCTATTAATGTAATGCTAGCAGATAGTGGGTTATTGTCGATGAATAAAAGAATAGAATGGTTAAGTTTGAAAGAAACTATAAAAATCAAACACGGAAGTAATCCAAACAAAAAATTCATATACAAAGCACTTGACAATGAGTCCACAAATGGCACGTATATGACGGAGTTAGCAGAAAAACACATAGATATCATGTATGTACTAACTGAGAGACCAGAAAACTGCATTCAGGAGTTAAACAACTGCGATGAAATAACTGGATGGATACAGGACGGTATACCAAACAATAAGGAGAAAAAGGAAAACTTAAATCAGGAGCAATGGAGAGCAATAGTTGCAGAAATGATGAACACCAAATACAGTATGTTTCGGAAAATTTTTACGGATGCGTCAAAAAACCATAACGGAACAGCAATAGCAGCAGTAGACCTAGTAAGTGGACATAGAATAGCAGAGAAGATCAATCCGAAAACTAATATAATGAATGCAGAGTTGATGGCAATCCGAGAAGCGATAAACATGGCAATAGAGAAACAATTAAAATGGGTCGTAATTGTCACAGACTCAAAAAGCTCTTGTTCAACACTTAAAACTACGAACAATGGAATAAACAACCACTTCGTTCTAGAAATTATCCAGCTATTGCACAAAGCACGTAATAACAAGTGGGAATATAGAATTCAATGGGTTCCTAGTCATGTCGGCGTGTCAGGGAACGAAGTCGCGGATAAAATCCCGCATAAACGCGAACCATCACATGACCTTACCGATAATGGTTATAAATTGTTTATAATCCCTGCTAAACTTCAACTGAAATGGTTATGGAACCTTACATGAACGTTTGTGTGATAAAGTTTTAACCTTATGTGTTATGGTTTTTTGGAAGCGGACCTTACAAATAATGGGTTGTTAAGAACCATTACCATTCCAAATTCTTGTTTTCTCCATACATTTTCGGAAAGAGAACTATATTAGAACGTTTTTACTTATGGTTTGAGAACATTAATGGTTATGGTTATGGTAGTCAGTAAGGTCCATTAATGGTTTTGTATTATCGCTCAACTTTACGTGAAATATATCGTGAATTGGTAATCAGTAATTTACAGGCAACCAATTCGCGATATATTCCACATAAAGTTGATCGATGTTACAAAACCATTCATGGACCTTACTGGTTACCATAACCATTACCATTAATGTTCTTAAACCATAAGTTAAAAGGTTTTAGTAAAGTTTTCTTTCCGAAAATGTATGGAGAAAACAAGAATTTGGAATGGTAATGGTTCTTAACAACCCATTATTTGTAAGGTCCACTTCCAAAAAACTATAATACTTAAGGTTAAAACTTTATCATTAAACGTTCATGTAAAGTTCCATAACCATTTCAGTTGAAGTTTAGCAGGGATTATAAACAATTTATAACCATTATCGGTAAGGTCAATTTATGGTTCGCGCTTATGCGGGATAGCGGTTGAAACTACGAAGAGAGAGCAGTCAAACTTTGGAAAACTAACACTACAGGATACCATCAACGTAGCAAAAGAGGATATATGGAACAGCTGGATAGAAGAGTATCAAAAATTGTCTCAGGAAAAAGGAGTAAAGCATTACGAATTTGCAGAGGTACCAGGGTCAAAGGTTTGGTTCAAGGACATGGCACTGACCACGAAAGAAAAAAATAATGCTTACCAGGATAAGATCAAATCACTGCTTAACCAAGGACAGGAAACATAAATGGGGTTGGGAGGCAAATAGCAACTGTGAAATATGTCAAGAAGAAGAAAATATTGAACATCTACTATTCCACTGCACCAAGTGGGACATGATAAGATCGAATTACAAATTACTGCAAGATAGAAAACCGCTGACACAAATACTTAAAGAGGGGGACGAAAAGGAATTAAAAGCAGTAGTAAAGTTTCTCGAGGAGGCGAAAATAACGGTACACAGCAAAAAAAAAATGTAATATCGATCAACGTAATTCAAGCTGATGTATGAAATAATGATGTAATAGCAAAAAGTAGATACAATATTACATCAATGGATGTAATTTTGTTCGCAAAATCGATGTACATCGTACAATGTGATATTACACAACCGATGGATTGACCTGGTTGCATCAGTTTCGATGTAATATTCAACAACTTTTTTTGCTGTGTATAGAGCCGAACATCAAGGACCATCATACACAACACCACCATGGAAAGCAACAACTATACGAACCAATAAAGAGACTACCTAATTGGCGAGATGGACCGTCACACGGTCTAAGCCAGGGAAAAGAGGAGCAGCAAAAAAAAAAAAAAAAAAGAACGAAAGTTTTTATCACAACAGACGGTGCAAGAGGATTTTTAGGATTTGCTGGGACACTGTGACTTGCATAGGCAGTCCAAGTTCGAACGTACCGCAGAGCTGAACGGGTTCGGGGTGATCCCACTGGTTGCGTTGCATTTTTCCACGCAGGAAGAGAGTAGTAGAGTCATAGTGCCTTTCGATCCGGAACAGTGAGACAGGGGCAAGTTTGACTACAAAAATCACATACATAGCAGAACGTGACAACCAGCAGCAAGGAAAATGTTCCGTCGAACTTTGACCGTGTCGTACTCTCCATTTCGGAACAACTACGTAACACTTCCGGACAACTACCATCGGATGCTGTCGAGCTACGTGAGTTTGCTTTGTTGCTACTAACTAGTATTGTTCAATGTCAAACATGCGGGGAGAATCATAAAAAAACTGGGGAAGCAATTTTGCTTCGAAAATAATCGCCGATTCATCTTGGTAGAATTTCAATTATCTCGCATTTTGTGACGGAATCTCATTCATATCTCGGCTGCTGTAGGGGAAAATGGGGTTTACTACAATAATGAGGAATAACTGGTATGAATTTGGCATTTTAAGCCGATAACTGGAACCCCAATCTCCCCTAAACTAACGAGTGCGCAGAAATCCCCCACTTTCGAAAGCAGATTGGTTTTTGGGATGAAAGATAAAAATAATCTCACCACCAACGACGACGACGCCTGTCAAACTCTTGGGACAGATTGCGGGGAGGTCGAGGGAAATGTTCATCTCTTAATGAGTGGTTCTCGGCTTGTTTGGGTTTTATTTTTAGAAAAACGGCTGTTTGAGCATAACGCACGGTATCGATAGCTTCTTCATGTCTTGGTCCCCGTTCGGCGGAGGGGGCTATCAGGATAATCGCATCGGAATCAATGCACAGGTGGCCACCGCCATGGGGCTGAAGGAGGGCGACGCCGTGATGGTGGCCATGATAATTGAGGCGCGATCTTTGAAGACCGTCGAAGTGACAACGACTACCGAGAAGGACTGGGATATGCTGGTAGGTTCGAATGTGGCCTAAAGACCTTTCAACTGATCTTTATGAGACGACATATTTTTGATTTTTGCAGCAAGTGAGCAGCAGTCGCATTCAGTCGATCCTTCTGGACCAAACGAGGATTGTTACCAAGGGCCAGAATCTAGTCGTGTGGATCAACGATTCCATTAGCCTCAAGCTAAAAATTAGTAAGTATAAGTATGACCTTGTGGATTTGGAAGTGTCTTTAGGCGATTTATTACTTTTTAGAATTTACAATTCCACCCCTGCCGTACGGGCGACTGGAAAACGACACCGAACTGGTAGTGGAACCGTACAAGAAACCCATTCTAAAAAAGGATCCTCCAGGTCTTCCGGGTGCACTCACCCGTAGCAACACTAACATGAATATTGCGGAGCTCGTTAGGATGCGAAATGAACAGCGAACCAAAACTAACAACACGGAAAATGGAGACACCTTGATAAGTTCTGCTGGATTGATCAGCTCTCCGCCGATAGCCACGGATTCACTTAAGAAACGACCCACAACGTGGCACAAGAACAATTCTCTTGAAAATGGCAAAGAGAACCACCAAAAGGACAAGGACAAGGGCAAAGAAAATGGCATTTTAAAGCGCAGTTCCACACACGGCAATGGGGTGCTGGCCAGCGCTCAGACAGCCGTTCGAAACTCGCTGTTTGAAAACGATCTCGATAGGCATTTGAACAAACTGCAGACGAGCAAATCAATGGCAAACAACCTAGCGGAGGAAAAACCAAAACCCTCGAAGACCCCCAACCACAAACACAAGGGACAATACCTAGATGAACTGGTGGCGACCTTAACGAGAGAGTCCCCCAAGATCTACGAATTCCGCGTGATCCGCGGCGTCTGGAACTGTCGGCGAAACAATTCGCAAATTTGCGACATCTACATCACCAAGGAGAACATCCCCGCGGGGATGGACATCAATCTCCCATTCCTGCTGGCCACCAACGACGATCGGGAGTACTTTGTGAACGTCCGACTATCGTCCGATGGAGAACGATTCCCGAAAAATGCCTACCCAACGGTTGAGATCAATGATAAACTGATGGAACAGCTAGAAATCAATCCCGGCGAAAAAGTCACCCTCCGGGCCAAGCAGAACGCCCTGAACATTGTGGACATGATTGAGTTGATTCCAGCGGCCAAGATCACATCCAAAATAGAAAGTGATATCGTGGAAAAGTTCAAAGAGTTTGTCCTGTTCAATTCGAAAGTGCACCCGGTGCTGTTGAACCAGGGACAGGTATTCAAACTGCCCGAGTACTATCTGACCGTGAAGTTGCAACCGGCGAACCTGAAATATTGCCTGGTGAATGCGGTCATACTGAGGCAGAGTAAAATCCTCTGCTCGGGGGAGGTGAAATCTTTGAACGGTGTGGTGCCGGCGGAGGAGGATGAGAAGAAAAAAGGTGGCGATTCGGGTGGTGGAGAGCAGAAACAGGTGAAGATTGCCAAGTTTCAGGAGATCGCCGACGAGTGTGTAGATCAGTTGAAGTTAAAGTTGTGCCTGGACGAGAGGAGCACGGTTCGGAAGACCTACAATGTGATCGTTTCTGGTGAGTATGATGAAGATGTCGCTAGTATTGAAAGAAAAAACGGCATACCCGAGTCCGTACCAAAATCTATCATGAGGCCCAACAAACCGGTTTTATTGAATGTTCAGGGCGTTAGTGCCACCTCCTACAATGATATTGATGCGCTCAGAGAAGTTATGTGGTACATCAAATCTCATGATTTTTTTTAAATGATTCAATCATTTGTCATTAGATTGAGCTGCATAGACATCCAGCATTTTTTGTGGGCGACCTTGGGGCAAATGGCCAAAACCAGAACCTTTCATAGGGAAAGGTGGCTCATAATGAGCATCCTGTACTTAAGCCTTCAATTTCTAATTGTTCAAAACAAAATAATTGGTGGTAAGTACTGTTGAAGAGTCGTAGCAAGCATTGGAAATGCAACATCATTCCGTTGCTATGTATTTTCCTTAGCAACCCAACCACGGATTTGAAATGAAGGAGTGCCTTAAAGTGGCGCTGATATTGCGAGGACTTCCGGAGTTGTTCAACCCTCTGACAACGGCTTTGGAAGCGCAGAACGAGGATGAGCTCACCCTGAAACTAGTGAAAGTGAAGCTGATGGACGAAGCAGATAAACTTCGGAAACGGTTCAGTTTCGAAAAACAAGCGCTACGAATGGGTTGGGTGGAGCTAGTACGTCGCAGAAAAATGTCGTTTGCTATCATTGCGGCAAGCCGGGACATCGAAAGCGAAATTGTAAGGCGTTTCTGGCGGAGAGCAGAAGAAAGAAAAGGCGAAGGCCAAAACAGTGCGCGAAAACGATTCAAGGTCGTTCAAGTTTATGGTGCGGTCTGGTAAGCATGATGCGAGTGCGTGGGTCATTGATTCGGGCGCAACGTCAGATTTGGCGAAAAATCGCAGTTCTTTTGTGCGTCTCGATGAGAGTGTACGTCCGGAGATTTCGACCGCCGACGGCAAACTTCTTCGTACGACAGGCGTCGGTGAGTGTAAAATCGAGTGCGTGAACAGTCGTAACGAAAAAGAGTCGGTTACGTTGACTGGTGTGATTTTTGCTCCGGGACTAAAAGGTGTTCGTGTGGAATTCGACGCGGATTAGTGTCGGTTGGTGTATGACGGGTCGGTAATACCGACTGAACATGGTGGAAAAATCGTTGCTGGTGAGTGATAAGCAGCACAACGCCGACTGTCTGCACGCGTGGCATCGAAGATTAGGTCACAGAGATCCGGATATGATTGGCGAAATTGAGCGGCGCGGTTTGGCCTCTGGGTTGAAGGTCAAGGATTGCGGAATTCGGCGGACTTGTGACTGTTGCTTCGAAGGTAAAATGGCACGGCCATCGTTTCCCCAAGCAGCCGAGAGAAGCTCAAAAGCGGTATTAGATATCGGGCACAGCGATGTATGTGGTCCTATGACGACATCACCAGGCGAGTGCCGGTATTACATGACGATGATTGATGATCATAGCCGCTATGTTGTCGTCTATTTCTTGAAGGAAAAGTCCGAACTTGCCGACAAGATCCGTGAGTATGTGAGGTTCACTGAAACTCAATTCGGGCGGAAACCGAACGTCATCCGTTCAGACCAGCAATGCCATGCGCAAGTTTTACGCAGAAGAAGGAATTAAAGCTGA